TTTCCCAGCACCACTTATTGAAGAGACTGTCTTTTCTCCATTTTATGCTCTTGCCTCCTTTGTCAAATATTAACTGACCATAATGGCGTGGGTCTATTTCTGGGGTCTCTGTTCTATTCCATTGATCTATAAGCCTGTTGTTGTACCAATACCAGGCCGTTTTTATTACAGTGGCTTTCTAATATAGTTTGAAGTCCGGTAATGTGATCCCTCCCACTCTGTTCTTTTTTCTCAAGATTGGCTGCAGCTATTCGGGGTCTTTTTTGGTTCCATATAAACTTTCGAAATGTTTGTTCTAGGTCTGTGAAATACGCTGTTGGTATTTTAATAGGAATTGCATTGAATTTATAAATTGCTTTGGGTAGTATGGACATTTTAATGATATTAATTCTTCCAATCCATGAGCATGGTATATTGTTCTACTTGTTTAAATCTTCCTCTATTTCTCTTTTCAGTGTCATGTAGTTTTCCAAGTACAGAAAAGTCTTTTACATCCTTGGTTAAGTTTATTCCTAGGTATCTTATTTTTTTAGTTGCAATGGTAAATGGTATTGCTTTTTTAGTTTCTCTCTCTGAAAGTTCATTGTTGGTGTACAAGAATGCTGGAACAGTCTGCTTTAAATTCAAGCCCCACCCTCGGTGGGATTCAGTTTTACTAAGGGCAGACCCCTAATATTGACCCTTCCCTTCCTGGCTCAGCCCCCACGTGGCCAGCATGATGTGGGTGGGGTTGAGTCGGCCTGGTCACACCTGTCCCCAGCCCCCAGGCTGCATGGAGAAAGCGCTCCCTAAAGGCTTGCTGATTGAAGGAGTATCGTAANGGGGCGCTGCAGGGTTAAAAGCCGGCAGCTGGGCCCCCCTCTTGGATGTTCTGTTTGTTGTGGAGCCCAAGCTACTTCAGCATGGCTACCGCCAGCCCTGTGAGTCCACCTGCCCGCCTCTCCTGCAGCCTGGCAGCCAGGGCCAGCGTTCACAGCCCACTCTGACGCCTTTCTTTGGTCAGGCCAGAGAGGCCGAGGGTGAAACACTGAAGTGGGAGGCGGAGGAGAAAGAGGAAGAGGAAGAGGAGGCAGCAGCAGGAGCCTCCATGAGAAAGGAGGCTCCAAGCCCTCCCACGGCTCCGCTGCCCCCAAGGAGGAAGGCCTGGAATGAGCGCCCAGCGGAGGCCAGACTGGAGCTGCACCTTCTGCAGAGCAAGTAGGGCGGGCCCCTGCTCTGCGCCTTGGACACCCCTTCCTCGCTCTGCCTCAGTTCCTCACTGGGCAAGGCCAGAGCTGGCCTAAGACTTGGGCCCTGCTGTTCCTTCCAGCCTTAACCCCGCTGGGATTCTGGGTTAAATGCCTCCACTTCTCCTCTCGTCCCCTGGCCTGTCACCTTGGGGGGCCTGTACCCCAAATCTTGTCCCCCAGTTTGTCCTTGAAGGGGCAAAACTCCCTGCCAGCACAGGGTGCTGCTGTGGGTGGGCACAAGGGTTCTCTGCTTCCTCTTGGTCACCTCTCCCCCCAGGTGGGCACTGTGGTTCTTCAAGAATGACCGCAGCCGGGCCTGGCAGGATAACCTGCATCTGGTCACCAAATTTGACACAGTGGAGGACTTCTGGGCGTGAGTGTCTGCCCTTTGTGGAAGAGGCTGGGACCAGGGCATTCTGAGCTCAGGATCCTTCTCAGACCCCACCCCTTTGGGGGCCTGCTTTCTACAGAGCTTTCCCAGTCCTCCCAGGGGCCTGGCAGCATTAGTGAGGGCTGGGGCTTAGTGGATTCTTCAGGGGGCATGGGCCCTGTGAAACCTTCTTGGAGCTTAGGGAGAAAGCCTGCACAGTGGGAGAAGCAAGGAGTTGACCCTGACTCTACTGCTTCATGATTTGTGACCTAGAGCAAGTTCCTTCCCCTCTTTGAACTTGTCTCAACCACAAAGTGAGGATTAGGCTGCCTCCGAGTGTCCACAGAGGATCAAGTGAGGGGACCTGAAAGGAGCTGTGCTATACGTAGGGGTGGGTGGGAAGGCCTAGGGCTCCAGCTGGGGGGGCACCAGAAACAAACCCTGCACTGGGGAGGGGGGGTATGTGGTCTAAAAACCTTCCCCTGGGCTTGGATGTTCAGGGGAGGCTCTAGGGAGGAGGCAGGATTTGAGGGTTTGGGTAAGTAAGGATGGAATTTCAGGTGGGAATGCCAGTGTGAGCAAAAGCTTGGAAGCAGGAAGGTTGGTGGAAAGAAGTGTGGGTTCTGGTAAGAAGTTGAGGGGGCTGAGATCAGTTGGAATCAGGCCCTAAAAAGCCTGGACTTTAAGCCTGGGGTTGGGGACTCTCTCTAGGATGTACAGTCACATCCAGCTGGCCAGCAAGCTGTCTTCAGGCTGCGACTATGCCCTGTTCAAGGTAAGCTCTGCTCCCCTGTCCCCTGGAGCACAGGGCTCTGATTCTCCTCAGTATTGCTCCCTCACAGGGAGCGTGGGGGTGGAGTGCTGAGGACAGCCTCCCTCAGAGCCAAGAGGAGGAAATGCTATAGAGAAGCTTGGACAAAGTGTCAGACCTGAGCTGCATCTTGAAGGACCATTGGAGTCTGGAAATTGGGGGAACAAAGAAGGAGCCCAGGTTTCTGGCCTGTTTCCTTAAGTAGGAACAGGCATCAGAATTGGCCATGTACACTGCTCATCAAGGTCCAGGCAAATCCCTGGAGGTGCAGACCCAGCAGATATGTGTGGTAGGACCCTGACATCAGTGTTTAAAGATTTCCCAGGTGACCTTGTGCTCAGCTGAGTTTGGGATGTCTGGCATGGCCCACACTGGGGTTGCCCCAGAGGCTTTGTGAATTATCCCCATTCAAACTCTTGTCTTAAGGAACTCTTCAGTAAAGGAGACAAGCACACACACATGCAAGGCTATAAAAGGGGGGGAGCTCAGGAGGTTCTGGGGGCTGGATGGCTGGTGGTGGCACTTGCCTGTACAGAGGAGATGGAGGCAAGACAGAACCTGGCCTGTGAAGACCTACTGAGGGGCAGGAGCAGGACCTAGGAAGGTGGCTGGGCCCCCACTTCCCTTTGAACAAAGGGAAGCAGTTGACTTGTCATTTGGCCTCCCAGGATGGCATCGAGCCCATGTGGGAAGATGCCAGGAATAAGCGCGGTGGCCGCTGGCTGGTCAGCCTTGCCAAACAGCAGCGCCACATTGAGCTGGACCGCCTGTGGCTGGAGACAGTGAGTGGAGGGGCTGGTAGGGGGGGCCCCCCAAAGGAAGGGAAAGGGCTGGTATGGTACCCATGATGGCAGTGGTCTTGACTAGCAGGTACAGTCACTGTGCCACAGCTGGAGGTCTCATCACCTCCCTTTCTGGTCCCAGCTGCTGTGTCTCATTGGGGAGAGCTTTGAGGAATACAGCCGGGAGGTGTGTGGGGCTGTCATCAACATCCGGACCAAGGGGGACAAGATTGCAGTGTGGACGCGGGAAGCAGAGAACCAGACGGCTGTGCTCTACATTGGGTGAGGGTGTCTCTGGCATGGTGTGGGGGCTGGGTCTTTTCTAGGGGAAGAGGTGAAATGGGGGATGGCTTGGCCTGCAAGGGAGACCTCTGGAACTCTGCTTGCTGTTTCCCTCTTCTGCCTTATCCACATGTATTAAGGGTTTGGGAATCTAGATTTCAAACTATTTCTAGCAGAACTCTTTTCTTTTGCATTAGTCCTATTTTGGGTTTCCACATGGCTAAAACACAAAACTGGAGTGACTGTAGCTGGAACCAGGGTAGGAGGACCCAAGGTTCCAGGTTATCTCCAGGACCCGCTGCCTGCCTGTCTCACTTCCTCTCCCACTTACCCCTTCTCCCCTCCCCAGGCGTGTCTACAAAGAACGCTTGGGACTCTCCACGAAGACCATCATTGGGTACCAGGCCCATGCAGACACAGCTACCAAGAGCAACACCCTAGCCAAGAACAAGTTTGTGGTGTGAGAGGGCCTTGGCACCACTCTCCATTCAGCCACCCTGAGCCTCTCACTACTGTGTGTGTATGTGTCCTGGACACCACTGGGGGTGGGGGCAGAGGGCCTGGTTCTCGCCTGCTCTGGAGTGAATATGAACATTCTTTAACATGAGTTGGGGCCCAAGCCTAGGGGCTGTTCTGTGGGTGGTGATGGTGGGGACAGGCAGGACCCAGGGCAGCGGAAAGGTGGAGGGAGTCCCTGGTTTTCCTTGTTTCACCCAGGGGTGGGTAGGGTGGGTTACTGGGGGAAGGAGGGCTCAACCACAGGTGGAAAGATGACAGGAGCAAAGCCTATGATTTAATACTTACTCTGTGCCTACCTGGAAAGGGGGCTAGCTAGGTGGGGCTGAGGGTCAAACTCTTCTATTCTAGGGGAGTGGGGCTCAAGGCCACGGCTGCTCTGAGAGCTGGAGTTCAGGGACAGGAGTAGGGGCTGCTCCTTCTGGTGATGGCTGTGCAGAAAAACCTTTGTGGATTGACTCTCATCAGATTTGTAGACTTGGAGCCCACCCTGAATCCCATACCTTCCTTGGAGTAGGGCTGGGCCCCCACTCCAGAGGCTGGAGGCTTAGATGCAGAACCCCATCATCTCACAGAGGGATCTGAGGAGAGATACAGCCCTGAGTATTTCTCCTTTCCTCAGATGTGGCCGGGGCTTGTCAGGGTCTTCCCTGCCTCAGGGCGAGGCTTGAGGGGAGGAGGGAGGAGGGTGGTGGTCAGGCTTCACCACGGTTCTGCTAGAGGTGGGTAGACTGGATGGAGTTCAAGGCCCTTTCTGTTCCTGTTCTAAATAAATACTCCCTTTTGAACAAAATTGGAATGATTTTTTTAAGGAGGGCTCTAATATTATGATTCAGTCCCTCCAAGCCTCGGTCTGCTCCAGTCCTCCCTTGAAAGGGCTCGTGTGAGACTCCCAGGTACCAGGGAGCCCCATCAGGCCCAAGCTGGGATGGGGGAGAGGGATAAGACTGGGGAGCTCCAAGCGCCTAAAGGGTTTGCGGGGGCGGGGGGGGGCGCGTTGGCCCCCTGAAAAACTAAAGGGGTAGGAACCAGCCGTCTCAGCACTCAAAGTGGGGAGTCGTCTAGCCCCCAGTTTGGGTCAGGATAGGTAGGGCTAAATCTCTGGTGAGTGACCGCCTGTCTGATTGGACTCCGCTGAAATAAAACGTCCTGCACCCGTGTGAAGCGCACCAGTCGCGTCACCATCGCCATCTGCTCAGTAGTTAACTCCAGAGATCAGCTCCCAGGCCGGGGATTGGGGTGGCGGGGGTATTGAGCCTTTCGGGGTGGGGGCACCTGCGGGTCCGTCACGCCCGAGGTTTGCGCTGCGGTTCGCGAGCATC